ACATGAAGGACTCTAAGGGAAAAATGCATGGACCCCAGGAATGGGAAGCAGCAGGAACTCTTGAGCTAATTGGGAGCATGAGGGTAGGGCAGAGGGAGCTGCCAGAGCCATTATAGGTCCGAGGAGAGATCTGGCACTAGGGAGATTTCTGGAGACCTTCAAGGATGACACGAACTGACAATCTAGGCAATGATGGAGAGGATAACCTAAATGCCCTTCCCCTATAATAAGACTGATGACTACTTTTTATGCCATCCTAGAGCCCTCATCCAGTGGCTGAAGGAAGCAGAGGCAGACACCTACAGATATACACTGAACTGAACTCTGGAACTTAGTTGCAGAGAGGGAGGAATGAAGATCAAAGGGGTCAGTACCAGGCTGGTGAAATGAAACCCACAGAAACAGCTGGCCTGTACTAGGGGGAGCACATTGACCCCAGACTGCTGCCTGGGAGGCCAGTACAGGACTGATCCAGACCCCTGAACATGGATGTCAATGAAGAGGCCTCCGCACTCTAGGGGGCCCCTGGTGGTGGATTAGTATTTTTCCCTGGTGTAAGAAGGGACTTTGAGAGCCCATCCCACAGGAAGGGATGGCCCAGACCAGAATGATGTGGTGGACTTTGGGGAGCCCCCGTCCAGGGCCCTACCCTGCCTGGGGAGTGGAGGATCGATGAGGTTAGGGGGTAGGTGAGGGGGAGAGGGAGAAGGATAGACGTGAAACAAGCTTGTTCCTAATTTGAACTAATAAAAATATTACAAAAAAAAAGAAAGAAAAAGAAAAACAATAGGGGGAGGGGAAAGAGAGGATTGACATGTGAAGCAGGCTTGTTTCTAATTTGAACTAATAAAAAATAAGAAAAAAAAGAAAAACATTAGGAAAAAAGATGCTTAAAGACATTGCAAAATTGCTAGAATGTGCTTTGGGCAGTTAATCTGTACATGTTCAAAGGTTTAGAGGTATGACGTCCCAAAGGTACCCAAACTGGATGGGAACAAAAACAGAGAAGTGAAGTAAAAGGGACAGTACAATTTTTAAAACAGGCCAAGATAATAGAGGAATACAGAGTAATAGACTAATAGGTGTTTGCAATATAAGAAAGAGGAAACAAGGAGAAATGTTGCAAAAAGTCCAAGCTACTACTAGGCAGAATTATAGCAGAATACCCCATATTCAGCTTGAGCTCATAATATCCTAATATATACCACACTCCCAAGTGACAGCTATCTGGCCTGACCCAACTCTGTGTCCCACTACATCAGCCTGGCACAAAACCCTATCACAGAAGAGCCTAGAAAATGTGACAATGAGTGTGACAAGTAAGTAAAACCAAATGTGACTCAACAGTTCAGGCAGTATTTCTCTGATTTAAAAACAACAACAACAACAAACAAAAAAACTGACATTAATAAACATCTCTGGATAAAGCCAAAATTCTTCACTTACTCCTCCCTACAAGCCCCTAGAGAACTATTGTTAAGCGAATCCTATCATTATTACTGTCCCAGGAGAACTGTACCATACACAGGCGTCTTCCCTGGCAGGATGACGATAATGAGCTGCAGTCCTGAGTAGGTGTTCTTTAGATGCCGGAACATGGGCTCCACACTATCTGCTCCCTGTGCATATTTGCAGAAACAAGGCTGACCCTGGATGGGCATCCCCGCATCCTTGGAAATCTTCCGCAGCTGGTCTGTGAAGTTCCTGTGGCACAAACATGGTCATGGCAAGATGTAATAAATCTCACTGAGTCTGATGGACCAAATGCCTCCATCTTAGGTACTCAGTACCATGAGAGTCTAACATGAAAGATCCAACCACAGCAGATGGAAAAATTACATTTATAGTAGAGGAAAACAAGGCAGAGCTTGCTCAACTAAAGAGAACACAAAAGGAGCTGAAGAGAACAGACAAGGGACTTGTGGGATTTCTCAGGGCTCTCGTCTTTCTCTGTCTGAGTGAGACCTATGGATGTCTGTACCCCATTACATGTCCACAGGGGAAAACAAACAACAAACAGATGCCTAAGTGTAAGGCCTTTGTGCCCAAAGTAAATAAGGATGGAAGCACAGAAGATAAATGCTCAGGGAAAAACGAGTTTCTTTCCTCTGGCTTTAGGTTTTACCCTGAGAAAGGCAACAGAGTTGATAAAGAGGGTGGCTATAGTACAGTAAAATAATCAAGCTACATAAATATACAAAAATGAGGGGGTGAGGGGAGGGAGAGGGAGAAGGGACTTACATGTGAAACAAGCTTGTTCCCTAACTTGAATATATATATATATATTAATATATATATATACATATATACAAAACTGAGTGGCAAGCAATTTAATTCATAAAAATATTATCATTTAAGGCAAAGCAACCAGCAGTGAAGTGCCTGTCTGGCTTGTACAAGGGGTTGGATTCACACTCAGCATTGAACAACTTAATTAATAAAAGCAGTGAATGAATGTTTCAAAAATATATACGGCATACATATCAATGATAGCTCAGGACTCGTTTTTTTTCCATATTTAGTAAAAATATGTAGACACAGCCTATTTTATACAAATTTAAAATGATATGCATCCATAAAAAAAACTAGGTAAGAAGATTATAATCCACACCAGCAACTGCATCAGAAGAGAAGAATGAAACCAGAATGCAGGGCATCAAAAAATGTCAAATTTGTATTTTTTAAAAAGACTGAAGTAAACATGATAAAACTATGAATGTTGACTATGTAGGACTATATTATTTCTACATTATTATTACTATTATTGTGCTGGCTAACTTTTCATAACAAAAAGCTAGAGCCATCTTTGAAGAGGGATCCTCAATTGAGAAAATGCTTCCATTAAGATTCACCTGCAGAAAAGCCTTTCGGGCCTTTTCTCAATTAATGATTGACATGGAAGGGCCCAGCCCATGGAGGTATTGCTAGCCCTGGGCAGGGTCTCTGGTGCATAAGAAAGCAGGTTGAACAAGCTAGTAAGTAGCACTCCTCCATGGCTTCTACTTCAGTTCTTGCCAAGTTCCCTCAGTGACGGACTGAGATGTGGAACGGTAAGCAAAATAAACTCTTTCCTCATCAAGTTATCATGGAGTTTTATCACAGCAACAGAAACCCTAAGACAATTGTTTTGGGTTTTTTTGAGCTATAGTTTCACTATGTAGGCCTGACTAGCCTGGTATTCACTATATGTAGCCCCAGATGGCCTCAAACATAAGGCAATTTCCCGACTGTGCATTTTGAATATTGGTATTATAGGCATGAGGTATCATGTCTGCTAGCTACATTATTTATAAAATATTTTTAAACAAATAAAAATTAATAAATAATGACATTAAAAAACATATAATCTGTAGGTCTCAAAGCAAATATAACACTCATAATCCTGACATTTCTGACTGAGTCAGGAGAACCACCATGAATTTGAGGCCAGCCTGAGAGATACATCATCCCAAGAATACCCCACTCAAAAACTGAATGACTAAATGAATAAACAAATAAATGAAAAACTCAATACAAGCTAATCATTGCCTCCTATAATAGGGCTTTAATGGTCTGCTTTATATACAAATGTAGTATAGCTACTAAAACCTTAATCAAAACTCTTTTTTTACCAGCCAGGCAGTGGTGGCATACTTTAATTCCAGCACTCGGGAGGGAGGGAGGCAGAGGCAGAGGCATGTGGAAGGCTGTATCCAAACAATGACACAACCACAGTGATGAAGACAGATAAAAAAAAATAGGATTGACTATGTTTATCCATCACTGACAAATTTCCCCAACTCCACACAGCAGCCTCTGCTTCTCCCACTGTCTTTGTGAAAAGAATGTTTTTCTCTATACTCTGAGTCTCATGTCCTTAGGAACATTTGCCTCATTACTTTCCAGTTTTTCTAAATTCTATTTCCAATTTCTACTTTCTATGCATAGTCTCAGGGAGTCTCTACTACATAACGTAGTTTTCATGGCTGAGAAATCTTTATCTTTGGCCCAGAATCATGCATTAAATTAGGTACCACTGATCCTCATACACAAGTTACTTTTTTATGCTCTGCATGTAGGGGTCACTGAGAAAAAAGGGTGCTTAATGCACTGAACTCTTCCAAACATGAGATCCTAGGTTTATCAATTTCTGGTGAACCGGAAAGGTCAAAACTATAGATTATTTAGAAACACACACAAAAAAAAAACAAACACTCGGACAAGGGCAGGATAAAAAAAGTAGGAAAAAGAGCTACCAATGAGATTATTATGGCATAAATAATCTGACTAGCCTGGTATTCCAGTATTGCTACAATGCCAAACCAAATGCAAGAACAGCCTGGCCTAAATCTAACAAATCTAGGAAAGGAGACTAAAAAATAAATAGGGAAACCAAAAAATTCCAGTGATGAGAAATTACAATTATGAAGGTGGCTACGTGTCTGCCTGGCAGGGGGAAGGGAGGACAAGGGCCTAGAAGGCCTGGATCCAACAGGAGCACAAATCTCTATTACCTTTGTCATGACCAAAATGGTCAGCTCCACTGATTTCCTCATTACCAGAATACAATGATCCACTCTCCATCTCCAGAGCCACCACATAAAAAGACAGCAGAGTCTGAACCATAGTTGTATATAGGTGCACTTTTTGGTGTTGTAAGCTAACTCAATAAAACTTTAAAAACTAAAGACTATAGGGAAAGTGTCAAGTGACTTTGCTACTTGTTTATTTACTCAGTCAGGCTGTTAATTCTCTAACCTGTTTCTTTAAGCTAATTTGTGTTATCGTTTTCTTCCTTGCTGTCATGTACTCCCAGCTTCTCAAGGATGATGAGGGGGCCTGCCTCTCAATTCATGTGCACCTATTTCAGGGCACTTGCAGCTCACTTAACTATGTCCTGATGAGTACAGCAGAGGACCAGCTGCTAGTCCTTGATAGCAAAAAAAAATGTTTCTAATTAGAAGCTCAGATCTGAACCTTTCCTGATGTGCACACTTTGGACAAGTTATTCAATCTCTTTCAGCCTTAGTCTCCTGAAATATTACCTCATACGGTGGTTTGAATGAGAACAGGCCCCCATAGGCTCATATATTTGAATGCCTGGTCCCCAGTTGGTAAAACTGTTTGAAGGATTAGGAGGGGTGGCGTTGTTAGAGGAGATGGGTCACTGGAAGATGGACTTCGAGGTTTCAAAAGCACATGCCATTCCAGTTCACTCCCTCTCTCCTCTTGTTTGATCAGATGTAAACTCTCAGCTATTGCTCCAGTGCCATGTGGCCTATCCTGCAACAATGGTAATGGACTCATCCTCTGGTGCTGTAAGGCCCAATAAACTCTTTATTTTATTAGGGGTCACGGTGTTTATTATAGCAATAGAAAAACAACTAAGACACCACCTACTCACTATCAAGATGAAAGAACATAAATTAGTCACTTAAGTGTAATGTTAGCATAAGCATTATGGTTATTACCACTACTACTTATTACTAATTATGATAATTAGAACAATAAAATGACTCAGGCCTCCTTTAGGAGAGTCATACCCTAAAATTCATGTCTGATATAGATATGGCTCCTCAAGTCTTCTGATCACATATGCATAGAAAATAGGCAGAAATGTGAGTCACGAAAAAAAACCAAAAAACAAAACAGAGTTAAAAGAGGAAAGACAGATCAATCTAGACCCCTGGAGGTTATAAGATCAACAGGTCTGGGATCCTTCCCACCCCCACCCACCCCCATCCCCAAAACCCAACTCTCTTCCATCCTTACTTGAGCACTTCTTCTCGACATTGTTTTTGGGGTGCGAAGCAGGCGATGGCCCAGACTTTGATCTCAATGCCATTGTAGAATTGTTTCCCACGCATGTCCCAGACACCTTGGTTGGGTGTAGCAATGGCCCGATTCTAGGGACAGGTAGAGGGGGCGCCCAGGTGAGCCTCAGTAGAGCCATGTGAGGAGGGAGCAAAAGCCCCTAAGCTATGTAACCCAACTACCCCCATATGCCCCAGAGATTTTGTCTGGCCCTGACCCTGCTCACCCGGCCGCCATATTGCAAGATGGGCGCCGGCAGCACTCGCCCCGTCACCTCCGTCATGTCATCCTTCACTTTGATTCCAAATTCCTGGATGTAGGGATCTAAGTTGTAGCTGGCATTCTTCATCTGCGGGGCAAAAGAAGGGGATCTCAGGAGACCAGCAGCTTGGCAATACTGCTCATGTTCTGGGTCCCAAGGACAGAGCCCTGAAGAGAAGCTGAGGCTGCCAAGAAATAGCCCTGAAAAGGGGGTAGGAGAAATAGAAAATGAAGGGAGTGGGAGTGCAAATGGGAGTTGAGTTAGAAAGGAGGGAAAGAGAGAAAGAGCAGCTGAAGGATCAAGAAGCAAGAGCAGCCTGCAAAGTCCCAGACAATAAGTCCAGTCAGGGTTTCCTGAAGGAAAGCATCTACCCTACCAAGGGCCCCAAAGGCTCAGTGAACAAGCATGCACTGCTCAGCAGTCCCACTGACCAGGCGACTGATCTCCTCCTGTCTGTCTGGGGCCGACCTAGCTGTAGCCTTTATCATGGTTGAGGTCTGGTTGTCAGTCAACTTCTTAATGCACCGCTGCCCGGCCACAATGTTACAGACCTGAGAAAATGAGTGGAGAAGGAGTTACAGTCTGAGCACAGCCTATCCTTTTACAGTACCTTAGCTAACAGAAGTGGGAAAAGGACTACAGAGTCCTTTATACAAAAATACATTGTGACCAGGTCTGTGATCAGGTCTCATGTATTAAATGAGAATAATTACAAGCCCACAGGGTGTCTAAAGATTAAATAAAACACTAAAGAGCTGAGCACAGTTCTGGAACACTGCACTCAGTAAATTATAGCACACATTATTATTTACCCAAGGACTAAGTACACAGCTCTTTTGAATATTAAAAACCCAATGTAATATAAGCAAACTAGATGCCTATGGCAGCTCTCCAATGGTGGCAGGAAGTACATTGCTCTGTCTGTAACCAACCAGGAGGAGCAGAAATGGCTCAAAATTCTTGAGTCCCTGAGATATAGAAAGTGTAGGAATCATTATTTCCTTTTTGCTTTTGTGTGTGTTGGGGAGCATTGTGTGTACGTGTGAATGAATGAACCCAGGGCCGTATGCATACTAAGCAAGCCCTCTACTGAGTGAGCTGAATCTCCAGCCACAGAAATCACTATTCCCATTGGCTGGCAGTATTGTTAGTATAAGGAACATCCTGCTACTTGGTTCCTCTGTCCTACACACAAGATGGAGATCAAAAACAATGCCAAGAGGTTGGAGAGATGGTTCAGCAGTTAAGAGCACTGATTGTTCTTCCAGAGGACTGGGGTTCAATTCCCAGCACCCACAAGGCAGTTCACAACTGTCTAACTCCAGTTCCAGGGGATCCAGCACCCTCACACAGAGTATATACAGGCAAAACACCAGTGCACATTGTATGTTGAGGACCATCTGTTTATGCCCCATGTTGGGCACCATCTGTAGTTTCCTTAGGACAAACACACTTCAATAGCCATGCCTTAGGCCTTTAGGTCTTATGAGTTTAGCCTTGAAAGAGTAAAGATAGGTCTCAACTCACTGACCTTAAGTCAAGATAAAGCAGAGCCATTTCTATGGGCTCTGATAGCACATCAAATAAATAAGTAAATAAATAAAAAACAAAACAAAACAAAAACCAATACTTAGTGACAAAATAAGACTTTGACTTCTGGCTGTGCAGTAGTGGCTCACACCTTTAGTTCCAGCACTTGGGAGGCAGAGGCAGGCGGATCTCTGTAAGCTCAAGACCAGCCTGGTCTACAAGAGCTAGTTCAAAGTCACAAAGAAACCCTGTCTCAAACCCCACCACCCCCAAAAAAAAAAAAAAAAAAAAAAAAAAGACTTTGACTTCTAATCAGGACACAGGGACAGGAGAGCTAACAGTAGAAAACCAACTGGTCTCAGGAGACTTGTGTTTGAAGTGAAGATCTGTACTTCTAAATAACGTTACCTTGGGTTCATCTCTTAACTGATCTGAGACTCAACTTCTTTATCTCAACTGTCTCAAGATGATGTGTAACTTGCTCCACACGGTCAATGTTCTGTGTACGCTGGCTTTAATCCTAGCAGCCAAAGTTCACACTAAACAATAGGAAGGAAAGCCAGGCCAAGGGCACCTGCTTCTAAATTCCACATGAGCACCCAGAATTGTTGAAATTTACTTTCCTAAAGATGCTTTCAGAAAGTAGCCCTCCACAGGCACTTACAGCTTCAGAACTAACACGGCTAGAAAACTACACAAGGACTGCAGTGAAACTGGAACTCTGACCCTGAAGCTACTGTGGAAGACAGTGTTGTGACCCCTCACAACACTAAATATGTAGCTACCATATGAACCATGCTGTGGAAGACGGTGTTGTGATTCCTCACAACACTAAATATGTAACTATCATATGAACCAAACTCCACTTTGGGGTCTGTACATAGTTGCTACTCAAGTGCCCATCAGCATTAGAAAATATAAACCAAGTAAGGTCTACACATACAGAAGTGTATAACACCTTAAGCAGGAAGAGAATCCCAACACACTACAACATGGGTAACCCTAAGGACATCGAACTAAGAGAAATAAGCCAGTCAAAAAGGAGAAATATATGCCTATCCTTGGATAAAGAACCTAGAGTAGTCAATCCCTAGAAAGAGAAAGTAGAACAGAGGCTGCCAAGGTTGGAGGCAGGGGGTGGTGGGGTGGGGTGAGGGTGTTGGGAGGGTGTTAGGGGTGGGTGTTGTGTTGGTCTTTAATGGGCACAGTCCTGGAGATAGACAGTGATGAGAGTCAAACAACAGTGTGAATGTACTTAATGCCACAGAACTCTACACTCAATGGTTAAGACGGTAACTTATACACAGCTGACTATAGTTTGAAAAACAAAAAAGATTAATGCAGGAATGAACTGGCCTGAACATGAACAAATGATTTTGCTGTGTCTCAGTGGCCTGAATAAATTAAGGAACACAAAAACCTAGTGGCACTCGTTATTTTTATTTCTTGGCTGTGGAGCTTCAAATTATTCACATTTTCTTACTTAAACCTTCCAGAGATTCCCTGTATAATTAAAATAAAACCCCTCCCGACTAGAAATGGGAATCCTCATTCACTGCTGACAGGACTTAGGATGTGAAACAGTTATGTTCAAGTTTAAGAGAAATGGAAATGAATTCAGAGGAACAAGTAAATGAATGCTCATAAGTATTTTTTTTTCCTATCAGCCGAAAAGCATAACACAAATGCCCATCAATGATGAAAAAACAAAATGATGTATCTACGTAGTGGAACAGCATCCTTATAGCAATGAGGATGAATCTTGGAACAATTATGCTAAGTGAAAGAAACCACAGGCAGTCTTGGTGACACATGCCTTTAATCCCAGCACTCGGAAGGCAGAGGCAGGGGGATTGCTATAAATTAAAGGCTAGCCTGATCTACAGTGCGAGTTCCAGGACAGGCTTCAAAACTGCAGAGAAACCCTGTCTCAGGAAAAAAAAAAAAAGAAAAGAAAAGAAAAAGAAGCTAGTCAAGCTGGGCAGTGGTGGCGCACACCTTTAATCCCAGCACTCAGTAGGCAGAGGCAGGGGGACCTCTGTGAGTTCGAGGCCAGCCTGGTCTACAGAGCGAGTGCCAGGACAGCCTTCAAAGCTACACAGAGAAACCCTATCTCGAAAAACCAAAAAAGAAAAGAAAAAAAAAAAAAAAAAGGAAAAAAAAAGCCATTCAAAAAAGGACATAGACTATATGATTCTATTTATATATATTTTGTCCAAAACAGGCAAATCCACAGAGATAGAAAATAACTTAATAGTTACTAGGGACCATTAGGGAAAGAAGTATCGGCTTTCTTCTAGGGGTGATAAAACATCCTAAAATTAAGTAGTCATGATGTCTACATAATTCTATGAATACAGTTTAAGTACCACTGAATTATACATTATATACATTATCACATTTTTGTCAATTATGTCTTCATGAAGCTATTAACATGTTTTTAAATCCTCCACAACATTCAAGACAATCTAAGCCTCCACCTCTTCCACCGTTATCTCCTATCCCTTATTTCCCCCTCATATACTACAGCCCTCCGTCCTCAGAAAGATCCAGCCTGTCTTGCTTTAGAGCTTTAGTAGCTGTTCCTCCTGCCAGGAAATCTTGTCCCTACTATTATTACAAGGATGGTAGCCATAATTTGGGACTTAGATCAAATGTCTCCTAGGAGAGGCCACCCTTGACAACAACGACTAAAACAGTCCCCTGACCCTTTGTCCTTACTCCTATCCCTTGACCTGTTTTATTACTTTTACAGCACTCACTACCATTTCAAACCACACACGAGTTTACCAGTTTGTTGTTTGTCTTTCTAGAAGAATACAAGTTCCAGGAGAAGAGGAACCCTTTCTTTTTACTGTATTTCTAGTACATGACATATATTATGAGCTTGATAAACATGTTAACTAAGCAACAATACAAATCAAGGTTATATAATTATATAAATGATTCACCTTGAAAATTACTGTTTCACATAAATAACATTGTTCAAAAATTTCAGTTTGTAATACATTCAATTTAGCTGGAACTGTCCCTAAAGACCTCAGTTTATACCTCCGAGAACATATTGCCTTCATCCCATTTTCTGTGTATCAGCTGCTATTAAACAAGCCAGAGTCTTGTTTTGCTTTCCTCTCCCTTTAGTCTCACTTTCTTGGAATAGGTTCTGGAATCCTAGAAGTTCAAAAAAAGCTTGAGCTTTAAGTTCATAGAAGGCACCCAACCCCTACTGCTGGAAAAGTGGGGAGTCTATTAGAGTGCATCTCCAACTCTAATGCGTATATGACTCTCCTTTTAGATCTTACTAAAGGCATAGGCAGAGAGAGATGCATTTTAAACAAGCTCAGGTGATGCCCATTCTGTTGACACACTAAGGATGTCTCATGATGACACACTGGACCAGAGAGTAAGAAATATTTCACGAGGCTTTGCCTAGATTCACTAGTATTCTGTGACTTAAAGGGTATTACTGTCCTTTTGCTGACAGCTGTATTTAAAAGGTCTGTAAAGTACAAAGGCAGGAAAAGTCTGGAGATTTAAAATTTTCCCAGAAGAGAGCTCATTAAACACTGGGGAAATGGGATTTATATTACAGGAAACATTTGTCTCCATTTTCTTCAGAATGAGATATAATTGTATTTCTAGGTCACTCATTATCCCTAACTGCAGACAGCAAGAAAGAGAAATTAAAAGATAGCAGATGTGTGAGTATCTGAAATCTGTCCTGACCAATTACAAAATAAATCAATATAAGGCTAGGGACATAATTCAGTTGGCATAGTGCTTGCCTAGCATGCATAAAACCTTGGGTTCAATCCCCAACACCCCATAAACTGAGTGTGGAAGTGCTATGTCTAGATTCCCAGCCCCTGAGAGGTGGAGATGGGAGCATCAGAAGTTCAAGGCCATCCCTATCTAAATTTGAGTTCAAGGCCAGCCTAGGCTGGAGAGTTGTCCCAAATAAATGAATAGATGGAACTTGCCCTTCTGCCTGGTAGCCCTGAAAGAACATGAGAGCAAAACCAGGGATAAGAAAAGACCTTAGCAAGTGGTAAGTCTATATTTCATATGAAGACAACCTTAAACCTCCCTAGAACATCATCTTTCAAAACTTCAAATTGAGGAGGGCAGACTATGATTGGCTCAACAGACCTGAAGATCGATGTGGTGGAGCCCTTCTGTGGCAGCCTTACCTCCAGGGGCAAATAGGTATGCTTTTGCTCTTGCCCAACTTGTAGGCAGGGCAGGTGAGGATACTTGAGTTGAAGGTTGTATTTCTGCTTGAAATACTGTGCCACAGTACATTCCACAGTCTGTCCACTCTCCAGCTGCAAGGGAAACCTGTTTGGATGAAGGGAAGGAAGTATCATAACTCAGCATCCAGCCCCACCTCTCTATAGCCCCACCCAAAGAAGGCTTCACTGGAAAAGTCAAAGATTTGATGGACAAGTTCTGCAGCAGGCAACCATATCTGACTCTCTTGTGTTTCTAACACCAGAATAGAATAGATATAAAGGTAAAGAGCCCAATACAGCCTGACATCAAGAAACTGGATGGAATCTGATGATTTTCCTACAGCTAAACCAGGGGCCCTGATTTTAGCTTTTTTTCAGGAGGAAGAATAAACTGAAAATTCTATATTTACAGACCCAGGAGTAATTGGTGGTCCACATATATTTTATATTAAGGTCCAAGGAGGAAACCAAGAGATCAAGAAGGTAAAACTCATGGGGATAATCAAACAAGCTGGGAAGGGTCAGGGAGAGGATGCCAAATTCGCTTCTCTTATCTCCAAGCAACGGCCAATGCCAAGGCTTATTCTGAAGGACCACATGAGAGCTTAGCCCTCTGCTACCAGTTGACTGTGCTTAGCAATGCTGCCAACTTACGTCTGATGACTAGCAGGGCGTCGGGTAACATTACACACGCGGTATTTCCTCTTCATCTGTCCACAGTGGGTCACTTCCACCTTCAGGCCTGAGATACACACACTACTTGTCAAGGTTGACACAGATTGCTCATGCTCCCTTGCTTGGCCTCTCCCAGGGAGATTTCCTTTTAGGGTCAGAGAAAGCAGGGCTTTCCCTTCCCCATTTGGGTGGGTCCTCACCTTTTATCTCCTTGGTAAAGCGAACACGCTGGGAATCTGTGAGGGGCTTGGGCTGTTCATCTATGTTCCTGATGTCCAGGACCTCACACATGAACTCAATCACTGGCTGTGCTTTGTAGAAGGCAGTGGCTGATACTGTGGGGACAGGGGAGAGATAGCTTGGTTCAGATTCTTTCAGAGGAAAAAAAAAACTGAAGGCATTACAATTTATACCCTCTTCTTTACAGGGTACCAGGATAGGGACAAGGTGTGCTAGGGCTTCAGGAATTAGACTGGGCATGTGGCTGCAGAGCTGGGAGGGGAGGCTGGGAGTGTGGTCACTGGATTTAGGGTACCCCTGTCTCCACAGCTTTTCCAACTCACCATCAATGTTGAGCATCATCTTCCACATGGCAGGGCGCACAGACTGGTGAAAGCCGAACCAGACCTCGCGCCCACCCCCCAGCGGGTGGTAGTAGCCCTCAGGCGGTGAGAAGAAGGAACGGCCCACAGGGGTGTACCTGGCAGGGACAGGCAGAGAACTGGTCCCTCGGGCACAGGCCCCCACCCTGTGAGGCATCCTGGGCATGGAGGAGCCCTGGCCTGGAAGGCAGGACACCGGGGCTTTAATGCCAGCTCTGTTCTCAGGCCAATAGTAAGACTGACCTTGTACAAGTTTCTACCTTTTCTCTGCCCTGCAGGGATAGATGGAGTGAAGCCAAATGGTATCCAAGGACAGGGCCAGGGATCTAACCATCTAAATGTATATATATATATATTTGCCTGACACATGGTAGGGCTTCAGTTTCTTTTTCTCAGTGATACACTGTGGGACCTTAATACTTCCTCCCTCCCCCCTCCCCCAACAGCAGTTTTGCCAACACCTATAGCCTAGGTAATAACTATATTCAGTACCTCATAGACGCCAGGTGCCTCATGGCCACATCCAGGGCTTGCACAGACTCCAAGGGCACAGGGATCTGGCCACTGACCAGGGCTTCATGTAGCATACGCCAGCTCACAATGGCTAGCCACTTGATGGAGACCTTAAAAATTCTATCTTTCCCTTCCCCAGGGATTGTCACCTCAAAGTCAACCTTCAGGAAAGAAAGAAAGAAAGAAAGAAAGAAAGAAAGAAAGAAAGAAAGAAAGAAAGAAAGAAAGAAAGGATTTACTGTCATATTCCCACACACTAGTCTTCCTGCCCCACTCACTGTCCCCCACTCCAGAGACCTGCCATAACTCTTCCTTGAAGTCACCAGGGACTCACAATAAAAAACTGAAGAGTTAAAAACCCACACTGCTTTCCAAGGATGAAGCTTCAGTGCTTCTGGCCCTTTCAACCTGGAAGGAAATCCTTTGGGTCTATTTTTTTTTTAAGTCTAATCTTGGTCTGTTTGGGGCAGGCACAGAGCACATTAAGTGCCAACCCTGAGCCACCATATACTCTTCATCACAAAAGCAAAAGAAGGATCTCTAGACTATCGCACTCCAGGTGGCCTCATCCCAGCCTTACCCTCTCGTTGCCAATGGGCAGTGCAGTGACAGTGTAAATGTTCTTCTTTCCATCATAGACGGGCTTGCGATCCCCGAAGATCTGAGGCTTGAAATGCTGGACCATGTATTCCACCACTTCCCTGGGAAGACAGACATGGCATGTGGAAGCCTCAGTGATACCACTTCAGGCTTGTGGAAACAGTTCAAGGTTCTGGCAAAGTCCCATCTATTACACTCACTCCTAATGTCTACTCTATGGCAGTACTTCTCAAGCTTCAGCATTCCTATGAATCGCCAGGAGGTTTCATTAAAATCAGCCTGATTGGCAGGCCTACAGGGTAGCTTGAAAAGCCACATTCTGACATTCTAGGTGACGCTGCTGGTCCTCAGATCACCAAGACCCTCATGGACTTGGAGGGAAGAAGGGCTTGTTCTCAGGTCTATCCTGAACCTTCTACGACCTTTGATTCCCAGTCTGTCAAGCAAAATCAAAAAGGGAAAGATCTGAACTAGACTAGAAGTAAAATAAACTGTAGAATGAATTCATCTCTCCAGCTCTCTGAAGTTCTGCCACTGTTTTCTCTCCATTGTCATCGTTCCCCCAATCTCATTTCTTGCATTCTCCTATTTAGTTCCCACATAGTCATCACATTTTCAAACTCCCAGCCACCCAACTATCTGACCATTCCACTTTCTACACCCAAATTTTTATGTACTGCTACAACATAAAACATACTCAAAAGGTACACTAGACACAATGGTGAAACACGCGGTTTCAATCCCAACTAGGCCAGTGCTACTGAGAAATACATCGTGATTACTTATATCCCTCAGGAATACTGACTATATGAAACCTTTCCCAGCTTCTAACTGCCTTTTATCAAAAAGCAGCTCTAATAGCAACAAAAAGAACACTGACTAACAGCTAAGGCCACGTTAGAGTTCTCAGACATAATCACAAACATGCTCATTTACATAGGTGTTCATCCCTCTGCTAGCATCTGAAACACCCCTTTCATAGGTTATTATATGCATAAACATACAGAAACATGTTTAATTTCATTTATTAGAGAAATACAATTCAAAATTAGATCAAGATACAACACTCTACTTATCCAAACACAAAAAAAGAAAAAGAATTGGATATAATAGGTTGGTGTAAATATGTGCAATAGAACCTCTGAATTCTTGCAGGCTGGGGAGAATGAAAATTGGTTTTACTAAAATCAGCTGCTAATTTGCAGGTCTACAGTGTAGCCTGGAAACCTACTCTCTGACATCCTAGGTAATGCTGCCTCTAAGAATCAACAATGTCTCAATTTAAACAGTCTTGTACCAGCAATCCACTCCTAGGATTTTATCTTACAGATACATTCATACTCAGTGAAAATATGTATCTTTATATAATATTTAATAGTTTCAATTTTTTTGGGCTTTGGAGGCTGTCCTGGAACTAGCTCTTGTAGACTAGGCTGGTCTCGAACTCACAGAGATCCACCTGCCTCTGCCTCCCGAGTGCTGGGATTAAAGGCGTGTGCCACCACCGCCCGGCAATAGTTTCAATTTTATAGCAAAAGTTTAGACTCAATCTATATATTCCTCAATAGACCAAGCAAGTTATATGGCCAGTGCTACATACTATATAGTGCCACACAAAAGAATGAGGCAGATCTACACATATTAATACATATTACTTTCCAAAATATGTGGCTAAACAGGAAAATGGTTAATACAGACCAAAGTACATAGGATTGTATATTAATATTACATATGTATATGTTTACACATGCACAAAAAAGTATCTGAAAATATACTCAAGATTGTTTTTAAAAGTATTCTGGGGGACAATAATTTTTTACTGCCAATTCTTAAGTTTTTTTGTTTGTTTGTTTTTTGTTTTGTTTTTCAAGACAGGGTTTCTCTATAGCTATGGAGCCTGTCCTGGCACTTGCTCTGTAGAGCAGGCTGGCTTTGAACTCACAGAAATCTGTCTGCCTTTGCCTCCTGGAATTAAAGGCATGCGACACCACCACCCGGCTTAATTCTTAAGGTTTTTAACTGTGAAAATGGTTTCCAAGTAATAATAAAACAATTTAATCTGCTTCTTCTAAGACTTCTAATCCCTCCAACTATGCATCTCACAACATCCTCCAGCCTTAGCAAGAATATCCTCCTCTTACTCCTACCATCTCTGACCTTGCCTTTTAACCTCTCCTTTACCCAAGTCTCATTCTTAAAAGTTCTCTACTCAGCTGGGCGGTGGATCACTTTGAGTTCGAGGCCAGCCTGGTCTACAGAGAAATCCTGTCTTGAAAAACCAAAAACAAAAAGAAAAAGAAAAAAAGAAAGGTCTCTACTCATCCATTTTAACAATGTGCTAGGTACAATACTTCACTCTCAGGGTTCTCTAGTCAACATGTTCCCTCTTTCCCTGCTAATACATTGAACTTGGTGCCGTCCATGTGCATCACTTACCGGTTGACTCTTCGAGGACACTTATCCGGCTTGATGTCCACCTCGTAATGATAAACATCAATCTTAGGAATGTCCACCTCAAAGTAATTGGCCAGAAGCTTGATTGGTTTGCCCACAGTGCCAATGCCAGGCCGTCGAGGTGCCTGGAACACCTGCTGCAGGGGAGGCAGGTAGGCACCTGCAGCTATTAAGACAAAGAGGCCAGTCAGTGAGGACAGACTCTGGCAACCTTCTAACATCTGTGATCAGAGAAAGCACAAGGCCTCTCAGACCCAGACCGACCAGGGAGCATGGGTGGGTCTCTTTCCAGTTTCTTAACCCAGCAGGGGACTTCCTTCCAATAACTCAGACATTCCCAGGCTCATTGGTTTTTCTAATGGTTTGTTCCATTTTTTTGTTTTAAACCTTTCTTCAGTTAGGAAAAATGTGTATCTTAAACTTCATCAAGTAAATGTGTAATGAGTTCTTATCACACGAAGGGAAGAGGCCAGCTCTGGTTCCCAGTGAACAAAGTCCTTCCTTCTTTCATACTAGAGGAGACACCTATCTCTACCAGGTATCTGGCAGACTAGAATGTTATATGCTCTGCTATGAGAAGCTCACTTCACTCTTCATCGAAGCACTGCCTGGCTGGCATCAGGACTTTGTATTGACACCCTCTGTTAATGTGGACAGGAGAAAGACCCCAAGAGAGCCGGGCTGGGAATGGCAAGGCCAATGCGAGACAGGGCTAAGATGGAGTGCTTGGAGCTGGAGGAAGATAAAAGAAGACAAGGCTAGAGGGAGAGATAGCAGCTGAAAACTAAGAAAATGAAGAGAGGCGGGCAGGGGTAGAAGAAAAGGTCAGATCTGGAGGTCACCTGAGAAAATGGCTTGAACTGGTTAGAAAAAGGAGTGAGGGCTGCAGGTAGGGCTAGATACCTGGGGAATAGGGAAGGAATTATCTAGATAAAGGATGAAGGAAGGCGGGAGCTCACATGAAGAAAGAGCTAGAGGCTCTGGGAAGGAAGAAGAACAGGAAGGAAGATACTGAGTCAGGAGAGTATAAGACACTTTCCATGCTTCACAAATCTTCCCACAGAGGGTCCAGGAAGCAGAAGGGATCAATTTCAAGACAGAGGAGACCCTTGGGAAAGGGCTAGGATAGGCCAGCATGACTGCTACTCCCAGTCTTATTTTCCAGCTCTCTCTCTCTCTCTCTCTCTCTCTCTCTCTCTCTCTCTCTCTCTGTGTGTGTGTGTGTGTGTGTGTGTGTGTGTGTGTGTGTGTGTGAGAGAGAGAGAGAGAGAGAGAGAGACTAAGTGAAGCCTTTGTCCCCAGCTACTATTGTTCTTGCCAGCAGAGGACCAGCCCAGGTGGAAGGAGAGAGGGGTAAACTAACCCAGAACCTCCTCCCTTAACCAGAGCTCTGCTTTCATAGACAGAAAAGACTCAGGTGGAAAGAGGGTAGGAGGGCATGGAGTACATCTTCAGCAAGGGTGTCAGGAAAAGGCCAGAGCCAAGTGTAGGAGGTACACACTTCCAAAGCTGAGGTGCTTGTCTCCGGCTAATCAACCACCTGTCAAGGCAGCCCCTTTCTGCAGAGGGAAACACAAGTTCAACCCAAAAGCAAAGGGCCTCTACAACCCAGCTACAAGGAAAGTGAACTACTTAAACCTATCCCAGAAAGAGATGAACAGGTGTTGCAGACATTCTTATCACATATAACCTAGCCCTTCAAAGTCAACTGTTCTACTCACGCTCCGTGTTTCAAAAGAAGGGACCATACCTGACTTGGTCACAGCTCAAGCTAATGCCAGGCATAAACACAGGTATTCCGTATAGTCATATGCAATAAATGAACAAGCACACCCATAGGCATACCACAGAGTACACAACCACACAAACACGCTTGCCACTGTCCCAAACAATCACAAACCCTATACAGGAGGAGCATTTGACCCCTTTGGGGGATCTCTTTCCCTTCCAAATTCTAGGACTCCATTCATCTTTGCCTCCTAGACTGGGAGGCAAATCCTGGGAGAAAAGACACCCTTCCCCCCCTTAGAACTAGGGGCTGAGCAAAAATGATAGAGGTAGGACATACACTCCCCTCAGAGCTTTCTTTTCCCCAGAAATGGAACTTAGGACACTCTCCTCCCCAGGAGTCAAAGAAAATGGGGGACATATCTCCATGCCATCCCCAAACTAGGGAAGCAGGCAGGAGGGAAGAACTACCTCTCTGCCATTCTAGCCCCTGGAAAGCTCTGTCCACAGCTGTACAGTCTCCACTCCCCAACCTCGCCCTGCCCCCAGCTTTTAGTCTGAGAAAGGAAGACACTTCCCCTCAGACCCAGACAGGGACAGACGGCCACTTTGTGATGCAGATGAGGGCCCCAGCACAGAGGACAAAGCTCCAGCCTAGGGGGAAAGGGGCGGGGCCCTTCCCTGCAGACAAAAGCAAGAAGGGAGGGGCCCTGAAAATGACACTCCCCCTCCCCCATCCCCTACCAGCACTGAGAAGGAAAAGTAACAGAGCTCAAGGTCCACCGTCAGGATTCCTCTCCAACAACTCCAAGGCTCACACATCTCCCTAAAGAACCTGACTGCCTACTTGAAGGGCAAGTACCCTTGGTAAGTTAGATGGTGAGTCAGAAAAGACTAAGAGACCAATCTCTCCAGAAATATTTGTTCACAAACATTAAACACCCACACACATAGACACAATTACAGAATATGCACATGAGTTTAACCATATGTTCACACTTGAATGTGATCTGAGCCAATTAATAAACATGCACTCTGTGTCAGGGCCTCCATGTGCCGCTGCCACAGATAAGTCGGGAAGTACCTCCACCCTCAATGCGCTTGCTTCCAGGCCAGTCCACATGCCCCAACACACCTACACACTGAAGGCACATCTGCACATGAGCCTTCTCAGAAAAAATTCTTCAACATCTTACAAGAATAAATAGTATTACTGCCCAGTCCCAGAAGGAAGTAATTATGGGGTCTCCATCAGAGTTCTCAGCCTGAATTTGGATTACATCTTTTGATTAGGCAAACCCCATGCCACTAACATTTTTCCAGTGACACAGCTGACTCCCATGCTCCAGACCTTCACCTAGAAGCTTCTTTCTTGTAACAAACAAATCCATGTCTTCATCACTCCAGAACCCACTACGAATCCATCAAGATAAAATCATTAGTAATCTAGGAAAACAAGCCTTCAGTATGTCTAGATGTGGGTGACCTCACCACCCTACTCTCTAGTCCACAGGTTGTTGTTAGCAGTCCCCAACCTAGAAAACTAGAATTTACACTCTACCTTACAAGGCTATTTGTGTTTGGAGGAACACATCACAGATCATTGAATCAGACTTGGGGGAGAGTTTTAAGATCGATACTATTATTGGCCTGAAAAACAGATGTTTCCCAAAATCTTTAAAAGTAATCTAAACAGATATCGTGTTGCCATCCCTACACCAAATGGAAGGAGGTGGTGAGAGCTAACCCAAAGGATTCTGGGTCCAGACCGTACTTTCTACTAGAGGGTAAGAGACCTAGAACACAAAAAGTATCCTAAGTCTATAGCCTCCAGTCTTTTCTGGGCAGCCCTGCCTCAGTTTCACCTCTTATCTACTTTTCTCCTGCTTATAAACAAGAAAACATAAGTTAGAGCTACAATCGCGATCAATAATCACGTCCACACCTCCAACAACTTGTTTCTGTCAGACAGACTAGCTTGGCAACCTTGAGTCTAACGACATGCCCCTGACATGGGAAAAGATCCACTGGGAAACAGGACTCACAAATATATAGAGATTACACTGTAACATAAATAGCCAGTTCAAGGAAAAGGACGTTATCCTTGGATTAAAAGCTCCCATCTCTCCTCAGTAGCGGTCTAGAAACCTGCAAAGCATATGGGCCTGGTCTCTCAATGACCAACACTTTTCTAAGGCCTGTCTTCAGAGAGAACCAGCTCCCAGAGCATGGCTTCGGTCCCAGTCTTTCCTCATGTGGCAGAAAAAGGCACTCTGGCAGTTTACCTCAACCCATTCTTTGGCAAACTGCTAACTGCGGGGCTTAAGGACCAAGTGTCAGAGACCCCAAGACAGAGATGAAGCAATTTCCATTTGTATTCTGCCAACACAATCTAAGAGAGAATGCACACATCAGTGCGCTCCTTTTCCCAAGCCAAACAGGGCAGAGGAGGGGTAGGGGTATTCAAACAGCCACGCCCCCACCACATAGGGCAGCCCTTTAGGCTGGTACCTCCGCGCATGCTCGCGGGCCACCACTCAAGTCCCCAGCCTAAGGGGGAAATCCCAGGACTGGATCCCCACCCACCGCCCCCTGACCCTCACCCCCGCTTCAGGCCCAGTTAGGGCGGAGCACAGAGCCCAGCTCCGGCGCCTTCTCCCTCTTGACATTAGCTTAGCCCAGCCCAGCAGGGCCGAGCCCCCGCCCCTGGCAGGCGGTAGTTACAGGCCCATCTGTGTCGCCCCCCTCCTCTCCTGGACACCTGGAGCCCGCCCCCCTGCCACCTGCCGGGCCTCCCCACAGGCCTCCCTAATAACCTCACGGAAGGACTCCGGTGCATTCAGGCCCTTCTCTTAGATTGCTTCCCACCCACAGTTCTGCATACTGCTTCCCAGGACAAACAGC